TTCCCCCTCTCTCCCTGTCCTCCCGTTCAAACAAATTTATATTGGGTGTTGGGAAGGTTTGGAGGAAATGTGGGAGAAGGAATAGCTGGAGGAGAGGAGGAGGAGGAGGAGAGGAAGAGGAAGAGGGGTGGGGGAGAAGAGGGAAGGGAATAGAACAGTTATGATAACACGACAGTTAACTGGGTGTCCTTGATGCCTCTTTGTCTTATATATATATCTCCTTTCATCCAGATTTCAGTCATATGTTGGGTGCTTCTTTCCTCTTAAGCTGCTCTTCTTGTCTTTCTCCTCTTCCCTCCTCCCCTCTTCTTTCTAGTCTTCTAGGTATCTTCATTGTAATGCATACGTGTGTAATATGTATAACTGCATAAGTAATACATATGTGTCTGCTAGGGCTATATAGGTGTTAGGCTTGGTGCTTTCTTCTGATAACTCCCTTCCCTTGGACAATTCGGAGCCTCAAACCATCAACCACACAAGACAGTAGTCCACCGCCCTCTCAACTTAGCCACCAAGACCTCTTAGGTGTTTCAGAAATCCTTCCTTTTTAATTTTAGTTGGTGGGTCAGAAGGTAGAGCGACTGTCACCCGTACTAATGGGTCGACTGTTCGAGGCTCCTAGTGCCCAGGTGAATGAAATGTTCCATACGTGGAAGTATAGGGGAGCCGGTCGGCCGAGCGGACAGCCAGCACGCTGGACTTGTGATCCTGTGGTCCCGGGTTCGATCCCGGACGCCGGCGAGAAACAATGGGCAGAGTTTTTTTTTCACCCTATGCCCCCTGTTACCTAGCAGTAAAATAGGTACCTGGGTGTTAGTCAGCTGTCACGGGCTGCTTCCTGGGGGTGGAGGCCTGGTCGAAGACCGGGCCGCGGGGACACTAAAGCCCCGAAATCATCTCAAGATGGTGAATAGATCAGATAATCAGCCACTGGACTCAAAATTTCTAGCTCAAAATTTTCTAGCTCAAATGTTCAAAATTTTGCTATAATCTTAGTTATCTCGAGATGATGTCGGGGCTTAGCCACCCCGCGGCCCGGTCCTTGACCAGGCCTCCTTTTACACATTAAGCAGCCCGTAGGAGCTGTCTAACTCCCAGGTACCTATTTACTGCTAGGTGAACATTGGCATCAGCGTGAAAGAAACTCTGCCCATTTGTTTCCGCCTCCGCCGGGGGACCGAACCCCGAACCTTAGAACTACGAATCCCGAGCGCTGTCCCCTCATCCGTCAAGGCCCCTAAGCCGGGGGTATGAGTTACGTAAATTGTGGCTCGTCGGTTAGACCTAAGTTAGGTAAATAGGTTTGACTCGGTTCGGGGGTATCTTATAATAGGCCATTTATAGTACATTACTAATATGCACGGTGGTATAAACGTCGCTCGTTCGAACTAGGGCATCGAATATGACACTTGTTGAACCTTTCTTCCAGATGTCTTCAAGATGATAACAGCTGTCGTCACACCCACCTTGGCTGTATTACTCGAAAAACACACAGGCAGGGAGAAAGAGATACACACACACACACACACACACACACACACACACACACACACACACACACACACACACACACACACACACACACACACACACACACAGAAAGACACACAGACAGTGAAAGACACACAGACAGAGTGAAAGACACACACAGACACACAGTCCGACAGACAGACAGAGAGAGACAGGGGTGAAACGCTTGAGATAGACAGGTCGCAAATCATCATATTTCTGGAAATCTGAATGTAGCGTCAGGAACTTCGGAAAGGTCAGACGATTTATAGACGGGTTCTACAGTAATGTTGGGCTAAGAGGGGGATACTAGTAAGCGATCGTCCGAGTCAGAATTTATCAAGCGGGACTGGGTTATAAGTGAGCGTAGTGGTGAGCGAAGGTTTACGAAGATGATGGCTAGGAACTGCTTGCCACCCCCACAACGTTATGGGGTCTCCGGTGGGTGGAGTTGGAGAGAGATGCATTCGGTATAGTGGAGATTGTGGTTGTGGTAGTGGTTGGTGGTGAGGGTTCTGGCTGTGTTTAGGCATAGTGGTTGTTGGCTGGTGATAGGGAATGGTTGTTCTGATTGGTGGAAGTGGTTGGTTAGACCAGTATATCCCCCCAGAAATGATGGAACACACTGCATAACTGAGGTGTTTATGAAGTGAAGAGAGTCGACTCCAAACGCCTACGTATTATGCATTTCGTATTGAAGAGGGCCGAGATATGTACTATACTAGGAACAACATTGTGTATACTAAGCCTACGGCTGTTTACATTTAACCAAGGGGTGGAGGGGGGGATAGGTTAAGTACGCTTATTGGGTTGTTAATGCTCTCTAGAAAACTAACAGCTGTTTGGGGGGGGGTCTCCTCCGCCTCCCGCGGGAGGCGGAGGAGACCACAGGTTTTGTGCATATGTGTTATCGTGGTGGATAATGATGGATTGGTTAGAGCCGGTGGAGGTGTTGGTGGTAGTGGTGGTGGAGGGTGTTGATAGTGATGGTGGTGATGTTGATAGTGGTGGTGGTGATGTTGATAGTGATGGTGGTGAAGCTGTTGACGGCAGGAGTGGCGAGATAGCAGCAGCAGTAGTGGTAATACCGATGCTAAATAGTTATCAAGAGACCTAACCGCACTCGCGGTGGCTTGTATATGTGTATTGGACGGTAGAGCGACGGTCTCGCTTCATGCAGATCGGCGTTCAATCCCCGACCATCCACAAGTGGTTGGGCACCATTCCTTTCCCCACCCGTCCCATCCCAAAGCCTCATCCTGACCGATGATGATGATGATAAAGATTAAGCCACCCAAGAGGTGGCACGGGCATGAATAGCCCGTAAGTGGTGGCCCTTTTGAGCCATTTCCAGTATCAATAGATGATACTGGAGATCTGTGGAGGTGCGACTGCACCCTGCGTGACGGGAGATGTCTCCCGTGGCCATCCTGACCCCTTCCAAGTGCTATATATAGTCGTAATGGCTTGGCGCTTTCCCCCCTTCCCTTCTCCCCCCCCCCTCCCCCTTACTTCTTTACCCCCCCCCCACCTTGAGCTCCTGGTCATTGGCCCCGGGGGCCCCTGGTCCTCATAGGTCTTGTTTGTAGAGTCTTAGACTCTGCCTCACGCACATCTTTAATAAATTGGGAAATATGAGGTAATTATGATCTTATCTTGCTGTGTTACTCATTAAATGTGAGTGGTCACTGACTCATGTCCTTGCGTGTGTGTGAGTACTCATCTAGTTGTGTTTGCGGGGGCTTGAGCTCTGGCTCTTTGGTCCCGCCTCTCAACTGTCAATGAACAGGTGTACAGGTTCCTGAGCCTACTGGGCTCTATCATATATATATTTAAAACTGTGTATGGAGTCAGCCTCCACCACATCGCTTCCTAATGCATTCCATTTGTCAGTGTGTGTGTGTGTGTGTGTGTGTGTGTGTGTGTGTGTGTGTGTGTGTGTGTGTGTGTGTGTGTGTGTGTGTGTGTGTGTGTGTGTACTCACCTATTTGTACTCACCTATTTGTGCTTGCGGGGGTTGAGCTTTGGCTCTTTGGTCCCGCCTCTCAACTGTCAATCAACGGGTGTACAGATTCCTGAGCCTACTGGGCTCTATCATATCTACATTTAATTTACACACACACACGTGTGTGTGTGTGTGTGTGTGTGTGTGTGTGTGTGTGTGTGTGTGTGTGTGTGTGTGTATCGGTCAGTTCCTTTTGTGTGGCCTCTTTTTAGACAGCAGGAATTGTGTACTTTACACTCGTCATCCCTTCAGTACATACCAGTAGATCTTATGATGGTAATAAAGGCACTAAAAGAAGTAAACATATATACACCCTGTATACCCCAGGCTCCAGCCTGCCTGGGTATACCTCTATTGTAGAGGTATACCTCTATTGTAGAGGTATACTGAGGTCCTGTCATGCCCTTCACCGGACCTATATAATCCGTGTTTTGTTGATTTGCCACAACCTGCGAACCCAAGCAACCCCCCTACCCCGATCTACCGTTGCATAGAAAAGTTGCGCATTGATAAGCTGCTACTTTTTCATGGTACCTTTTATTTTTAACACACGAAATGTACTCACCTAGTTGTGCTTGCGGGGGTTGAGCCCTGGCTCTTTGGTCCCGCCTCTCAACCGTCAATCGGTGACGTATTAGTTGAGAGAACAGATTGCGGTATACCCACATGATGACATACTTTGTTATATACCTTGTGTGTTTTTTTTATTAAATACCCGAATAACAATGATTAATAATGATTCAAATGCATTAATAATTAAAATACACATTTGAAATAACTACAATACACAGTCCTTGGGCACGACCACTCCTCAGTGTACGTGTCCTTGGGCACGACCACTCCTCAGTGTACGTGTCCTTGGGCACGACCACTCCTCAGTGTACGTGTCCTTGGGCACGACCACTCCTCAGTGTACGTGTTCTGGGGCACGACCACTCCTCAGTGTACGTGCCCTGAGGCACGACCACTCCTCAGTGTACGTGTCCTGGGGCACGACCACTCCTCAGTGTACGTGTCCTGGGGCACGACCACTCCTCAGTGTACGTGTCCTTGGGCACGACCACTCCTCAGTGTACGTGTCCTGGGGCACGACCACTCCTCAGTGTACGTGTCCTGGGGCACGACCACTCCTCAGTGTACGTGTCCTGGGGCACGACCACTCCTCAGTGTACGTGTCCTGGGGCACGACCACTCCTCAGTGTACGTGTCCTGGGGCACGACCACTCCTCAGTGTACGTGTCCTTGGTCACGGTGGCTGTGCTAACATGTGACAATTTATGGTAGATTTATTTGTATAATTTAAGGCAAACTGACGCGTATGTGACCTAATATGACCTAATATGACCTAATATGACCATATGATCTAATATGACCTAATCCGTAGCTCGCATTTCGTGACTTCTTCGAAACCAGGTCACGTGAAGGTGGTTTTTCTAGAGCATCCTTGCGTCCTGCCTGTGTATCTAGTGTTGCAGGGTGACTAACGATGTTGCTTGTTGTGTTTGCAGGTGGCGGGAGCAGCGTGAGCGTGTCGGCGTGCGAGCACCGCTACGCCGCCACCAGCGGAGCTCCTCCCCCGTACTCCAGACTGCCCCCCGACGGCCATGAGTTCCCCAGCAGCTACGCCGAGGGTCTCCCTGACAAGCTGTCCCGCTTCGCCCGCTACTCCCGCCTCGCCATGGACTTAGACAGTCCTCCGACCCCCGCCGCCCCGACCCCCCGCACCCGCTCCGCCCCCGGCACGCCCCTGGGACCGCCCCCGCCCATCCCCCGCACCTCCCAGCAGAACTCCAAGAGCTACACGAGCGAGAGGACGCTGGAGGTGGGCGGGAACAAATGGGCGGGAGAGGAGAGGAGGTCGCGGGAGCCCACGCCCACCAGAGGGCGCTGGCGGAGACAAGATGAACGCAGCGAGAAGAGCGTGAGAGACAAGATCGCCATGTTCTCCACCGATGGGCCTGATCAGCCTCATCCCAAGACCAGGAAGTTAGACAAAGTCGAGGGCGATGAGACCACCATGAAGCGCGCCTTCACGGAGGATGACGTCAGGCTGGAACATTCCAGTAGCAGTTCCAGCGCCAACTGCGGCCGCGAGGTTCACAATGGCTCGCGGTCGCTCAGCAAGACCTCCGCCTTCAGCTCTATGATCAACGTCAGCACCGCGGAGACCAAGGACAGCATCAAGCCCATGTCGACGGCCTCCAGTGAGGTCGACATCAGGCAGGATATCCCACCGGCGCCACGTCGACACGAGCTGAGGGAGGAAAAACGGGCGGAGGACGATACCGCCACCACAGGCCTTCACGGTCGATCACAGAGCCTGATCGACATAGGGCGATCGACACTCACCAAACGCCACAGCGTCGGCGCCTATGATCGACCCTCAGTGTACCAGTATGGGATCGAGAAGCCGGAGGAGCGGGAGCGCAGGACCTCGCTCACCAACCTCATTGAGCAGAGACGAAAGAGCTTCGGCTGTAAGCTCCGTGGCTTGGTGATCCCCGAGAGCCGGAGCAGCGACGGGGGCGACAAGACCGCCATCGACCTCCCGCGCATCGCCAGCGTGCCGCCCTCCACGGCGGCCAAGACCATGTCACTCCCGCGGGAGGGCCAGCGCTCTCCGAGGCTCTACAAAGCAGACTCCATCTCCAGCATCGACTCCTGCGAATCCAACACCAGCAGACACAGCTCCCTCAACGCCCCGCCGTGGAAAAACCACAATACAAGTACCTTGCCCAAGTACTCGCCGGCGTTCAAGAGGAAGAACATGAGCGTGTTCAACAAGTGCGACAACTTGCCACCGCCCAGCGGACGGACGCACGGCACCCGCAGCGCCTCGCCCACTAGCGACTCCTCCCACGCCTCTCCCATCCCGCCGGCGCACTCGCCCACCAAGAGCATGGAGGGCTTCACAACGCAAGGGTCCGAACACAGCTTCGAATTCTCAGACAGTAGATACAGCAACGATCGACACAGCTACAGCAAACTGCCTCTGTCGCAGAAGAGTTCTTTAGATTCGCGGCTCAGCAGAGCTGAGGATAGCGACAATGACTCAGCAGTCAGTTCCACTCAGTCAAGCTTCTCCCAAGGTATGTCTCCTCCGTCTTCCCCTATGCCGGAGCAAGATGATCACGATGACTGTCGATCCAGAACCTACAGGTCGCAGAGCTCCATAGACGAACAGGAAGCCGCTAGAAGAGTACTGAAACGCGGCAGCATCGAAGCCGAGAATAGAAGAAACGTCCTCAATTCGGCAAGGGTCAGCTCAGGAAGGAGCAGTGACGAACAGCAAACTCCTGAGATCATCCGAAAATACTCCACCTCTGAGAGGAGCGAAGAATCTGACAGGTTCCCAAATCGCCTGGACACGGAACTGCGTGACGGACCAAAAGTGACAGGACTTCGCCGGCAGCCATCCACATCATCCACGTCATCCTCCGAGTCGTCGCGTAGATCTTCTCACGACTCGTCCAGGCGTAATTCCAGAGATTCTGTCATCCACGTCGCCAAGTACGACGAGGCGAAAGTGTCGGCGGAACCTGTATACTTTGACCAGGAAGGAGAAATGTACAAGGAAGCGCAGCTGAAAGTAGCGTATCTAAATGAAATTGTGGATGACTTTGAGCAGCTTAACGAACCAGCAAATGAAGAAGTGATCGCAGAAGTTCCCATGTCCCCATCAAGAAGAGTGGTGGAAAACTCAGACTCAACGGAAACGATCACATCGACCACATCAAGCTTCCCCACACGACGATCGGAGAGGTGGGCTGCGCTCGAGATGAAATACGGCTCATCTAATCCAGGCGGTGACACAGAGACAAAACTGCAGAGGTTAAGAAGAGCTTCGGACTCGACGTCACCGGACAGAACGAAGAAAAAATCAGGAGGCTTCCGCGCCCTGGCTGAGAAGTGGCAGCAGCGAGCTGAGGAAGACACGTCAGCCTTATCTCAGCCTCAGCTCACCCGCAAGGAGAGTACTACAAGGCTAGACGCTCCCCCTCGGCATTATGATGAACGATCATCAGGTGCATCCACGTTGGAGAGACCAACTCGTCCCTCTAGACTCTATGACGACCCAACAGAGATCGACGGTAATCGACCTACCCGCCCCACCTGTCTATACAGTGAGTCCGCTCAATCGCCGATGAACAGCAGGTGCGAAGGCCGCGCCGAAATCCTTGACATACCTCGAGCGGAAGTTCCAGACCGTAAATTATCGATGCCGGAGTACGGCAGCGGAGGCATCAAGATGCGCGACCGACGCGACGGTAGCGTGGGAGGCGCACCTTCACGCCCCACCAGCCTGATCGAGGGCGGCGACGCGGGGGTAATGGACTCTCACTACCTCAGTGCCGGGGCTTCGCTCAGTCCCGCTGCTTCTACGGACTCCCGCGATGACCTCTGCTCCACCCCTGAGGCCTCGCTCTCACGCACTGCCAGCAAAGAGGTCCTCGACGCCTTCTCCCGACCCCGCGCCTCCATCGGCGCGTCATTACCTCGCATGGGCGCCTCCAACACGCCTAAAATGGCGGATATAATGCGGGCATTCGAGCGCCACGACTTGAATAAGCGAGGTACACAGGGCTACGGTTCATCACACCCACGCATGTCATCTATAGATTCAACGGCGAGTGACGACGGCTGTATGGGGGCCCACTACGGTTCTGTTACCTCGCTAGCCTCCGGCCAGCGAGATCAGTACGGCTCCATCACCTCCTTAGCCTCGTCCACCTCCCTCATATCTCCACAGGTAAGTTCATTCCACCTCTTGCGTATATTTGTCCCTCTAAATGTGTTATCTTGGTCGTCTACCAGTATCCATCATGGCGGCAGGGAGCGCAGACCATCCGCTCCCATCCACATTCTTGCCATGTTTCGTGCACAGCTACAATGTCTAAACAGAAAAATCCACTTGCTTAGGCTTGCTGAAGATCATCAATTTCGATGTATGTTTCAGTATGAAAAATATCAGGTAGAAGGCTGTTACTGTTATTATCTGGTGTGTATTTACTATTTGTATCTGCAGAATCGAGCTATTAGCTCTTGGACCCCGCCTTGCTAAGCAATATATTTTTCCTCTATTATGCCTATTACATATATTTCTCCTACACACGCACACGCACATCCCTAAGAAGCAGCCCGTAGCAGCTGTCTAATTCCCAGGTACTGATTTACTGCTAGGTGAACAGGAGCACCAGGGTGAAAGAAACTGTGCCCATTTGATTCTGCCTCTGCCGGGGATCGAACCCGTGCTCTTAGTATTACGACCCCAGAGCGCTGTCCACTCCCCTCCCCCCCCTCTCCGCGAGGTGTGTGTCTGTGTGTGTGTGTGTGTGTGTGTGTGTGTATCATTGTGTCTTGTTGTATGATTGTGTTCATGTATATGGTGTGAGTATGCTTGTCATTACGTATAGTATGATTATGTAAATGCATACGGTATGTGTATGGTTGTTAATGCATATAATGTGTGTGTGTGTGTGTGTCCATGTGAATGGTACACACACACACACACGCACACACACGCACACACACACACACACACACACACACACACACACACACACACACACACACACACACACACGCACGCACGCACGCACACACACGCACGCACACACACGCACGCGCACACACGCGCACACACGCACACACACGCACACACACGCACACACACGCACACACACGCACGCACGCGCGCACACACACACACACACACACACACACACACACACACACACACACACACACACACACACACACACACACACACACACACACAGTACACACACACACACAGTACACACACACACACGCACACACACGCACACACACACACAGTACACACACACACACACACACAACGTGTCCCATACGAATGTGTGTATGCCTGTTTTCACCTGGTTGGCTTCTCAAGGCTTCGCTTCCACCATTAGCTTCTCGCACAGCTGATCACACACACGGAGGGGTTGTCTCTCGCCGAGCTCCAGGGAGTTGCTTAACCCTGCACATCACTCGCTAGTTGACACCCACCAGTGGACCTCCACACTTTGTCGCCCTTGAGCGGATCGTCAAACCCTTTGAGAGAGAAGGTGTCAGGGATTTTTGTATTAGGCTATATTTTTTTTGCGGTATTTGGTCCCCCACGCCCCCCTCTCTCATCCACCCCTGTCTCTCCCCCTCTCCCCCCTCTCCCTCCCTCTCTCCCTCTCTCTCAGGTATACACACACCAAAAAAAAAAAATGCTCAAAATTTGACCAGTTCCAAAGAGGTCAACTAACTTTCGATCGCCATTGTTTAATGTAAATTCTGGGTAAAGGCAAAAATTCCTGAAGACTGCTCTGTAATGGTGAAAATTCTTTGTTCAACTTCCGGGTTTTGCTAAATAATAAAGGAAGGGATTGATAGATGTATAGATAGAGAGGTCAGTGTAAATTAAAGCTCATCCGGGAAAGATGGTGGCAAAACAGTATGCTTCGTGGAAGGAAGACGATAGAGAAGATAAGGATGGGAGGAGGAGAATAAGACGAGAATGGTAGGGTAAGTGAGAATGGTATGAGGAGAAGGAAATGGTAGGAGAGACAGAGAATTGATAGGTGGGGAATTGAGCAATCAGGATTGAGAAGATTTGGGATGTATACACAGAGATGGGACGTATAGGAGGGGAGTTATATTAGTGGTAAAAAGCAAAGAAGTAGAAAGGATAGACAAAGAAATAGTATAGTGAAACTAAAAGTTGTCGGAGCTAAGATAGAAGATTAGGGGAGGTAGGGAGATTTTCCGTTAAATACCAGTTGGCCCTTGGGAGACTACTTTGGTCATTCGCACTCTGTGAGAGATCTCTGTTGGTGTCTTGAGACCCAAATAAAAGGAGGTACGTCAAATTGGGGCTTTTATCAATCCCCATTTTTACTCGTGTTTTTCCTCCTGTTCCTCTTTAATTTTTTTGTAATTCTTCGTGTGTGTGTGTGTGTGTGTGTGTGTGTGTGTGTGTGTGTGTGTGTGTGTGTGTGCACATTCGCTCACTAGTTCACACTCCCAAAGAGATTATTTTGAACCACTTTCGAAGCATTTAAACGTCAACAGATTTAAAGTTTTCAGCTTTATGTTTTTAACAGAATTAATCCAATTTCCATATAATCTCAAATTTCAGATTTTGAGTGTTAATATCAAAACACTGTGTTAATCTCTAACGCTTTCATCTATTTTAAACCCCCTCGTTGTTAATATCAAAACAAGTGTTAATATCTAACACTTTCATCTATTTTAAACCCATTCGTTGAAACGTTTTAATTCATTTTTCATATTTAATCCATTTTTAACAACATTTTAACCCATATTTTGCCCATTTGAATCCATTTGTAGTCTTTTTTAATCCATTTGTAGTCCTATTTACCCTTTTTTAATCCAATTACTAGGCTTCGTTATCCTCTTCAAATACACGCAAAGAGAACTTTTTTTTTACTATTAGGTCCTCATCTGATATATATTTTATGTTATATTTTGTAGCTTACTTCTATTTATTACTTGGAGATGTTTACTAGAAGAGGGTCCGTTTTAAGGTCTCTGGCAGTGACCAGGACCCGAAAAACGTTTGTGAACGTTTGTTTTGTTAGTCTACTACGGTATTTGGTCCATTACCGGTTAGTTAACCTGCCGGTTTTTCTCCTCGTTTCTGCCTCCTCTATTTGCAAGTACTATGATATTGTCTCCTCCCCAACACACACACACACACACACACACACACACACACACACACACACACACACACACACACACACACACACACACACACACACACAGTAGGGTGTTGCTACAATGGTGAAAGCTCTCCTCAGCCACGCCCATCGCCCTATTCCACTCGGAGGTGGTGACCTGGCGAGGTTTGTCTCCTACAACCCCCCCTCCGCCCTCTTCCCCCTTCTTCCTCACTAACGTTGGTGTGCTACCCATAGATGGAGGAGGGGAGGGAAGAATGATGGAGGGACGCGAGGTGGAAAGGGGGGGAAGTAAAGGTGTGAAATTATGAATGAGAGTGATGGAAGATTGGATTGAGGGATATGATAGGAAAAGGACTGAAGAGGGAGACTTAAGATCCCAAAATACCACTACAAAAAGTCACTGCCAAAAACACCTAGACCCAGATTCACGAAACAGTTACGCAAGCACTTACGAACGTGTACATCTTTCCTCAATCTTTTACGGCTTTGGTTACATTTATTAAACAGTTTACACGCATGAAAACTTGGCAATCAACTGTTGTTATTGTTATAAACAGCCTCCTGGTGCTTCGGAGTTCATTAACTGTTTAATAATTGTAAACACAGCCGCCAAAGATTGAGAAAAGATGTACAGGTTCGTAAGTGTTTGCGTAACTGCTTCGTGAATCTAGCCCCGTCCCACCCTCTACACCTGTGTACTACATGTACCTGCTTCACCTTCATATTACATCTGTCCATCCGTCCCCCACCCTGTCCTCCCACCCTGTCCACCATCCCTATCCACCATCCCTGTTTACCACATTAGGCGATTACAAAATTTTTAGGTATTGTCGAAATGTAAGAAAGCCTCGCCATTCAGTCTTTATGTGTTTGTAATACTTCAAAATGTGTAATTACCTGTGTAATGGTAAAATAATTATCGAGTTTGGAGGGGGCACAGCCTGCTCTTTTCCGATAGAGTTTTATTTAGAAAAATCTTTCTTCTATATTAATTTTGTTGCATATTTTTAGCTAAATATACATAATCTTCTTTATATGGGGGTTTCCAGCAGTTGTCGACAAACATTTTGCATATATTGCTCCCAAATATCTTAGTTTTACAAGCGAGTTTACAGAAAAAAAGTTGAAAACAAAAATTTAACTGAAAAATATGGATCCAGTTTTCGCAAGCGTGAATATTTCATCACAAATTGTTCAAGTCTAGGTAGGCTTTCTTTGCCCGCGGCGCTGCCAGACGTAAGACGCAGGCCATCATAACGGCACCTGAAATCTCAAATAATATTGTACTCTTTTTGAAACACTTCTTCCAGTGTTTCCGTTGTTATTTACTTAAACATTGATTAATTTTGTTTGTGTTTTCCAACATGAACTTCGCAAAATTTGCCATAAGAAGAGAGATGAGATTGAACCGAACCGAGATTAGGGAGGGGCTCCCTCCCTCCCTCCCTTACAAGCCCCGCCCACTCACCACAAGTAAATTCGACAAGTATAAGGTCAAGCTTACAGGTTTTATATCACGGCTGTGTGATCACCTTGAACACTTGAGTTGGCAAATACCACTTAACTCACCGACGCTTCTCTGTGGAGAAGTGGGTGGGTTGGGTGGGTGGGTGTTGGCCGTACGATAACAACGGTAAATAACAATGGCGTTCACCTTAAGATACACTATAAGCAACAAACATCGGATCTTCAAGAGTCCTCTGTTAAGTGAGGAACTTCTAAGCGTACTTTAAACGTCCCTTACGTATCGGGACTTTTTTTTTTTTTTTTTGACAGTCAGAGTTTTTTTTTTTTTTTTCATTTTCAAGTACTGATGAGCGAACAATACTGAGATACAGTTGAAAACACACAGATTGTCTGTGTTTCTGTGTTCTACGGTCGACTTATAAGTGGAGTGGCAGCATTCAGACGGTGTGTGTGTGTGTATGTGTGTGTGTGTGTGTGTGTGTGTGTGTGTGTGTGTGTGTGTGTGTGTGTGTGTGTGTGTGTGTGTGTGTGTGTGTGTGTGTGTGTAAGTCTAACCTGCCACACG